AGGGGCGCCGCTGGGCCCGGGCCCGGCGTGGCCCCCACGGCACGCGCAGCACTGTCGCCCCCGGCGCCCACGTCCCCGACGACCCAGCGAGGAGTCGGTGGCTGCGCCCGGAGGAGGCGGGGCAGGCGGAGAGGAGGGGTCCCGCCCTCCGGGCCGGCTGCGCACCGCGGGGGTCTGGCCTGTGCCCAAGAGCTCGCCCGGGACCAGGCCGAGGTCTGGGGACGCTGGGGGGCCGCGCTCGCACCCCTTCCCGGCCGGGCTGAGTCACCGGGACGCGTCTGCGCGGGCTTGGCGGCCGCCGCGTTCTCACCTGGGCCGGGGCAGGGCCTCTCGCCTCCGAGGGCGGGTTCTCTCCGTCCTCCCCGGCAAAGAGAGCCCTCGCTGGGTCACAGACCTCGGCTCCGCGCCCTCTCCCCTTAGCTTCTTAGTCTCACTTCGGGGCCCCTAAATTTACCGTCCCAAGTCGCCCCTGGAATCTCAAAAGCCCTCGGATCCAGTCCAGGAGTAAAGCCTGCTTGGTTGGCAACGTAAACAGGGCTTTCAGTTTAACTCCGGGTTACGTAGGTGCGCCCGTTTGTAAGGAGTCAGCTGCCAAACTACTAAGGTGTGTGCACGTTTTGGGGTACTGTCATACTCAGGTGAAAGTGTTTTTAAAACCAGCACTTTAAGTTAGAGTCCATATCTCAGGACAGGCACAGTAGGGCCGTGGTCCCTTGCGTGGAACCCGAGTCTGTGCTTCTTTGAAGAAGTCCCTGCTGCCTCAGCCTCAGGAGGGATGAGCACTGGGGCGCTCAGTGTGTACCCCAAAGGGTTCATTGAAGCACTTGACTGTATGATCACTCTAGAGGGTGCCCAGGTACATATTATTTTAAGACAAATTTTTTTTTTGAGGATTGAACCCAGGACCTCACACATGCTAGGCAAGTACTGTACCACTGAGCTACGTCCTTAGCCCTTGTTACTTACCACCATGCCCGGCTGGCGTGGAATTTGAAATCCTCCTACTTCAGCCTCCCAAGGAGCTGGCATTACAGGTGTGTGTCCCTGCACCTGGCTTAAGGCATTATTTTGAGAACCAAGTAAGCAAACTAGTTCTGTGGGCCAGCTGCCTGTTTTGTAAATAAAGTTTTATTTGGTGGCCAGGCATGGTGTCGCAGGCCTGTAATCCTAGCATTCGGGAGGCTGAGGCAGGAGGATCACCATGAGTTTGAGGCCAACCTGGGCTGCATAGTGAATTCAAAGCCAGCCTGGACTACATAGCGAGACCCTGTGTCAGTATGCCTCAAATAAATACATAAACTGCTGGTATTTTGTTTCTCATGCATTTTTTGGCATGAATTTTGATTTTAAATAGACTGCAGGGAAAATTCTTTTGTTTTTTTTTGGAGTGGGGAGGTTTCCGGTACTGGGAATTGAACTCAGGACCTTGCGCTTGCCAGGTAGGTGCTGTGCCGCTGAGCTAAATCCCCAGCCCCCCAAAATTGTTTTCTTAATGACTAAGGTTCCTGATGTTCCTTTGGAGTTTTGCAGCTAGGTCAAGGGCCTCACTCCTGTGCCTGGCTGCTGCTGGGTGAGGGGACATCCAGGGTGCAGCCCCGCCCCAGCACCAGGTGAGGAAGCTCCGCCCAGCTCCCTGGGTCCATGGCTCTGATCAGAGCTGAAGGGAGCTCCCAGTGATGTCAGCCTCCTGTGCCAGGCTCCATTGCCACGGGTCCCCTGCTTCATCCTTCCCACCCAGCCAGCTTCCTCCTTAGTATTATTTTTAACGTATCAATTGTGTTCTCACTTCAGGGCCTTTGCACTTGCTCTTCCTCTGCCCGGGGTGTGCTTCTAGAGTCCCCTCCCTCATTTCCTCTGCTGTGTCACCATCTGACTGAGGCCACGAGGGACCCTCGGGCTCCGCTCCACACCACTTTGTTGCTCTTTAGAGACCTTTCCACTTTCTGGCCTCCGTATCTGCCTGTTAACTGCTCCAGTGCATTGATGGGCCAGAACCGTGTCTGCACGGGGAATGCAGTGCATATTTCCGGGTTTCAGGCGGGGAAACACAGGCCGGAGACAGGGAGCAGCTAACATGGGTTGTGCAATGAGCAAGCGACAAATCCACCTGGACCCCATGTCCAGACCCCAGCTCAGAGCTGCCCCCTCCCCAGGGCTGGTTCCCCACGCCCTGCCCCAGCGCCCTCTGGGCAGCCAAGGTGACAGGACCCCCTTGCACAGGCTCCGCCCTGCATGCCGTGGTCCCCCAGTCACCCTGCACCCAATGTGCTCACAAGCCCAGCTCTGCTCCAGAGGATGCCTGGGACACCCTGGCTGCTGCCCCCACTGCGAACAGATCTCCCTCTCTTCCTGTCCCGGGCAGAGCCCAGCGGCTGGGCTGGGTGCCGCAGCTGGGCGGGTGTGATCACCCTGCAGAGGAGGGCAGCACGCTGTCTGGGAGGCAGAGTCCCTCCCTACGAGGAGTGTGAAAAGCAGCTGGGTTTTGTTTTGTGTTGGGTTTGTTTTCCTGAGACAGGGTCTCACTCCAGTGTCTAGGCTGGCCTCGAACTCTCACACTCTTTTTTTGTTTTTTTTTTTTTTTTTTTGGTTTTGGTTTTTCTCCGGTACCAGGAACCGAACTCACGACCTTGTGCTTGCCAGGCAGGCGCTTTGCTGCTGAGCTAAATCCCCAGCCCCGAACTCTCACACTCTTATCAGTTCTCCTGCCTCAGCCTCCTGCGTAGCTGGGACTACAGGCAAGTGCACAGGGCCAGGCGAGGGGATGGTTTGTGTGTGGCAGGGATTGGGAGTCACCCTCCTCCATTCCTAGGCCCCTCCCTGATGGCAGGAAGTGTGTTGCTGAGGAAGGAATTTGGGATGGGGAGGGGGCTCAGGGCCGGCACATGCCTGTAATCCTAGCACTCCGGAGGCTGAGGCAGGAGAACGGACAGGAGGATTGCCTCTAGTACAAAGTCAGCCTGGGATACATAGTGAGACCTTCTCTCAAACAAAACAAAAGGAGAAAAACATGTCACAAAGGTAAGCATAAATGCCTGCAATCTAAATAGCCCAAGTAAATAGAGACAGGAGTTTCTCCCTGCACTCCCTGTGGACATGATGACGTACTGCTCAGCCCGAGAAAGTTACAGCTTTTTCTGGATCCCATATTTCTCCGACAGTCTGCTAAAACTATGGGCCCCCTCTCCAACCCCCCACCCAAGGACACAGTGTTTCCAGTACGAATTTCCCGCAAGTGTTTCCAGGTTCCAGAAAGCCCTGCTTGGGTCCATTGCCTAATCAGAAGGACTGCCTAGGGCACAGTCTCCTATCTATGTGGCATTTGTGGCTAGAAGAGGGAACTGGATCCACATCTGCGATGCGTTCCCAAGTACGGGTCGGTTTTTAAAGCCATGTGAAGTTATGGATGAGGTTAAGCAAAGCAGAGCCGACAGGAAGTGAGGAAGGTGGGTTGAGCCCAGTGGTGAGAGAGCAGCTCCTTGTAGCCAAGCGAAGAGGACAGGGCTGGGGGTGCGGGGGGGGGGGCAGCTCTGCATCTGGGCTCGGAAGTTGCCTGTGGGCTCTTGTGGGGATGACAGACGTTCTGGGTGGTGGATGTTAGGTTCTCGCTAAGGGGGGAATCACTGACCATTTGGGTTGGGGGTTTCCTTTCTGCTTTGACCCTTGCTGTAATAAAGAGCAAAGCATTTTTATAGCTATCAGCTCCTTTATTGGCTTCTGTGTCCATTAACGCCCAGCTAGGACAGCAGGCACCAGCCTCAGTAACCCACAGGGAAGCTGCTTGCTGCAGGGAGTTGGTCGCAAGTGT